AGGATCCCACTATTTGGGGTACTATACTAGGGTCCCCTATTTTCGGAAACCCTAATATGGGTCTGGGGTTTGAGGGCTTTTTGGGTTCTAGATAAGGTTCTGCAAGGAATCAGTCAGGATTCTGCGACCTTCAGGCATTCCGTTGAGTGTTATCGACTTCATGGGGCCCCAAAATTCTGCAAGCTTTTGACCTGAAACTTCTTAACCTCGAAGTCTACTAATGTAAATTCGAAACCCTCATAAGCCCCCAACCTACACCCTCCCTCTGCAACGCACACCGAGACTCTGAGGCCTGAAGCCCTAAAGCACCAAATCCCATCCCAAACCCTCAACCCAACCCAAACCAAAAAAACAGAGAAATGATGAGCAACCTCACCGAAACACCGGCCTGTTGGTTGAAGCCAGAGGTAGATTATAGTATCAGTGAGCAGGAACGATCAGGTGATACTTCTTCTAAGTCTTCCGACCCCCTTCTTGGAAGATGTGCTGCTGACAGCGCCCGGTCCGAAACTCCCTACGCCTTCAACTGGGTTCTTGTTGAGGGATTTAATTTAGGTTACCATCATGAGGAAACCCGATTACATACTACAGGTCCCTGCTATGGTAACTTATGTTAAATTAAAACCCAACTTACCCTAAGATCCCTAAACCGCACCCTTTAGGGGTTTGGGTTTAGCCTCCCCCCCCCGGCCCCCCCAAACCCCAAACCCCCTCCCCCTCATTAAAAGCAAAGAAAGTACCGACCCGGCCTCGGTGGTTTTATCGTTTCCTCCAGCATCGTTCCTGCGCCGAAGCTCTTCTGAAGAGGCCTTAAGCTCACTTCCCCAAGTCTAAAGGTAGGGTGCTAACAAGCCTCCTTACACTCACGTCCCCCAAGTCTAAAGGTTGGGTGCTGGAGAACTCAGTGAGGGTTTATGGAGTAAGAGTAAAAATACTGGTGCGCTAGGGAGTCTTCGCTACTTTACTTGACGCCTACAGCTTGAAGGGTCGTGACCATGAACAAGAAGACTGCCTTAAGCATAGTTTCTGACTTGCTTAAGCCGTTCACCTCAAAGCCCTCACACCCATAAGCCCTGCACACGCCGTCCGGTAAGGTTACAGGGTACATGTCTGAAGTGCAGAATTTACCTAGAGTATCCACCCAAATCCTATCTCAAGTTCTATCGAAGGCGCAGGAACCTGAACCCTAAACCCTCAACCCCTCAACCCCTAAAGCCCTAAACCCCTAAACCTACTAAACCCAAAGCCCTATGACCCCAAACCCTTATGACCCGAAGCGCTAAATCCGAAGTCTTGCTCAGCTCGGCCCGGGCTTCAAAAGCCGGCACAAGGCCCTCGGCTCAGTCGGCTCATCGAAGGGTTTAGGGATTTTAGGGGTTCTGGGGTTAGTGGTGTAGGGGTTCAGGGTTTTAGGGTTTAGGGGTTTGGGGTTTATGGCTTTAGGGTTTAGCAGTTAGAGTTTTAGGGGTTTAGGGTTTTGGGTTCATGTGGACAGGAACATCTTCGCTGCATCTGTTGTGCAGCCTGTTTAAGACTCTAAAGGCACTCCGGGGCTGCGTGCTGCAACCCGCCAAAGTTCGGATCCTAAAGTAATCTTCGAGAAGGAGTCAAAGCGAAAATGGTCCTAAAGCTAGTTAGGCTCCACAACCACTAAACCTTAAGACCTACCACAGCCCAGTAAAGCTTGACACGTCCAAAAAACCTACAAACCTCTTTAAACCCGCAAGACAAATCCCAAAACCTCCTCTCCATACTCTCATGGATGTTTGGGTTTAAAGGACCTCCCATGGTCTATGCTACGGTTGATGATATAAATCCTTAGCATTACCCTTAATAAGGAAATATGCCTTCATTCCCATAGTTTAGGGGTGCTGAAGGTAGTGCAGGATTTCTATCATCAGCCGTCTCATTTGCTGGTATATCAATCTATTTGATCTTGTATCTTATTCTCAAAAGCTAGACCCTAGACCCTGAAAGTATCAAATTGCATCTTATTCTCAACACCTAGACCCTAAACCCTGAAAAGACCCAGGCGTCCTTCGATTGTCTGCCATGAGTGGGGCAGCTCCAACAGGGCGCCAGGCACTGCCTCTGAAGCTTCGCGGTTAGGGCCGTTTAGGGTTTGAATTGGGCTTCAAGCTTGAGGGTTGAGCAAGGGGGCTTTAGGAACTTTTGGATTTAGGGCTCCACTTTTTGGGAGGGTTTTGGGGGCTGTGGGTGTAGGTAAGAAAAGCTCCGGAAGTAGGCTTAACTTAAGGGTTTATGGGATGCCAAAGACCTCTACCCTAAACCCTAAAACCCTAAACCCTAAACCCCTAAACCCTAAACCCCTAAACCCTAAAACCCCAAACCCCTAAACCCCTAAAACCCTAAGGGTTTAAAGGCGATCCTCGACTTTGAGCCTGCCTTGTGCGGCAGCTTTCAACATGTAAACGTCTTGGCGTTCTGGGCTTCAGGGCCTTGTGGGAGTCTAGAGAATATCCGGTTTAGGGTTTAGGGGTTTAGGGTTTAGGGGTTTAGGGGTTTAGGGTTTAGGGTTTTAGGGTTTAGGGTTTTGGGGTTTAGGATTTTAGGGGTTTAGGGTGGTCTTGTTTTTTTTTTCTTTTTGTATGGGGCTCTTCCCTTGTGAGTCTAGGGTCTCCTGTAAGGGGTCCTAATATGGGAACCTGGTTAAGAAATCCAGGGTCTTACTTAGGGCTTGTGGGAGTCTACAGAAGATCCCCTCTGACCTCTTTCTAATCCCCTTAGAATCCATCTTACTACGGTTGATGATCTAAATCCTGCATGACCTTAAGGATCCTAAACTATGGGAATTGTGGTATATCCCTTATTATGGGTAATGCAGGATTTCTATCATCAACAGTAGCCTACTAGGCTTGAAAGCAAAAGCGTCCACCCCCACCGGGCCTGTTGGAGCGCAGCCCTGGTGATGTCTGAGCTGAGACGGCTACAGCTCTGGGCACAAAAACCATAATATATAATATATAATATATAATATACAAATATAAAATACCCTTCAAAGGAAAGCCGCAGGCCGGCTGCAACTTCGCAACCCACCGAGAACCCACAACTGGCTGGCTCTTAGCACCACACCCTTCACTCTCCAAACTCTGCGGCTTAGGCACTACGCTTGAAAGCCCGAAAAACACCCAAAGGCCTAAAGCTCCAAAGCTGGTTCTTAGTAGGGAATGGGGGAATGGGTTATTGGGACTGCTATAAGGGACCTNNCCCCATTCCCTACTAAGAACCAGAGAAAAAAACACCACGAGAAGAAACCGTGCACAAGTTGGCAAAGTGTTTCAAGCCCTTCGGCTGAGCATTCTCAAACCCTCAAAGTATCCAGAAAGTTGAAGCTCCGGGCTCAGGGGCTTTTGAACCGCCTTACAGTTGTGAGGCGGTGCCGTTGACAGTGTCGGAATTGTGGTGACCTTGCCGGCCTAAATCCTTCGTTCGAGGCTTTGAAGCAAGAGCATTCAAAAGCTCTAAATTCGAGAATCGGCGTTTCAACGAAGGTATGGACGGTACTCAACACCAAGGCCCTGTACCCTTCATCCCCATTCCGTCAGTTGAAGCTTTGAAACGACGTGGCCACACACCCCCGGCCACTTAAGCATCTCATCAGTCTTCAAGGCCCTGCTGGCTTGGCTGTGACGCCTCTGAAAATAGTTTAGCATAGCTTACTATAGTTATAGTATAGTATAG